TTGTTGGTCAGTTCCTTTGGGATGAGTCATGTGTTCGATCCCGTCAAGCACCACAGAGGTGATTCAGTGCGTATTTTGCCGACAGAATGATTTGTGGAAATGCAGTGATTTGCAATTCAGTGTCTTTTAACCACTCAAACAAGTTTGCTAATGAAAACCCTACCCGTTAGATGAAATGGCGGACTTGGTGTGTTGAATGAGCCGTCCATTACTTGGATGTCGCAATATTAGTACAAGATTTGTCTGAGAGAATGAGAACACTGGGCTCATATATCCTTAGATTCCCGGAGTCATCGTCATGGGCCGTATATGGATTCATTCATCTCTACGATAATTAGTGGAGTCTAATGCATGATGAGTTCCCTTTAAGAGGTTCATTGACGGCGAGCATGATATCATAATATAAGAACTTATAAAAATCATTAAATAAATCTTAATCCTAACAGGGTCTGGGAACTCGTGACAACGATTTAATTCGTGTTCTTGTAACTCGTTCCGAAGTCGATCTCGAACTCATCAAACAAGAGTTCTATGCACTTTACAACAAGCATCTCGATGAAATGATTAAGGTGAGGATATCATGTATTTACGAAAATCGAAGCATTTCTTCTAGCTGATTCATTCCCCAGAAAAATTTCAGAGTGACACATCCGGACAATATCGTGACGCCCTCCTGGCGATTGTCATGGGAAATCGTGGTTAATCAATTCTTCTTAACATTTGAATCATTCTATTCTTTTATCTGATTCATTATTGCATCTATTTATTTCCATTTTGTATCCCATATCTTACCTGTTTTGATAAAATTTTGTAATTGTCTTGAATAGAGTACTTTTGTTTCTGCGATACAGTCATCGAGAACCCTTACACCATTACGAAGAAGATAGAACGCGACACGGTGAATAATTTTCTGCGCGTTTGAAAAATGACGTGTTGAATAAAGTGAGGATTCGAGTAGATCACAAACGGATATCTAAGTGGAACAAACCGTTGTGACATGAGAAATAACATTTTTTATCATATAGTTGGCATAAAGAATAAAGCATTTGGTGCTGATAAATCCCGAAAGGGTACGTCATGAACGGTCGGTAAAACGATTTGTGGAGCAAACCGATGTATCAAGTCTGGGTATGATTCTACCAGACAGCGTTTTCTCAAGACATAAGGTCGAATCAAGGTTCATATGCGTCATATAGAGCACGTTTCTTCAGATTACGCTCAAATTTCGATATGCCGTGCAATAATATTTCAGCCATGCATGTGTCTGTTAAGGGCACTTATACAGCGCTATACACGTGTTTCGGCCTTGCACAGCCTCATAAGTAGCACAGTGCCCTATTTAGACGATCTTCTCGAGAGGACCTTACCCCCTTACAAAGAAGGCGTGGACGTACTATTCACACGCGCCATCAACTGAAAATATCACTGAATGGGCAGGCTTGTGCACTCGATTGATCTTGGCTGGTATCGTCAAATACATTATACGTTTCGTTTTGAGTGTTTTCTTGAGACCACGCTCAAATTTCAATATTCCTTACAGTCATTTTTGAACACATTTCTTTCTTGAACCTTCCTTGACGTCTTTCCCCCAGTTGTCCCACGAAAGGACTTGTGTATAGTTGACTTAGATACTGTCATCGTCAAAAAACGCTGCACTTGATTATGGGTTCATCAAATAGTGATTTTCAGCCATCACGTTTTTATTGGAAAAATAAGTGATAGGCCTCTCACTGCTGATCAATCACTAAGGAATTCACCATGGATTCACCTTTGTCAAGCATCGCTTGAGGTGTTGAAGAAAATCTCGCCTACAGAATAACAGCGACCTAACGAAGTGTCAAGTTAGTGCTGCTTTTCTTCTAACCAAATCTGATACCAATTTGCCAACTCGAAGAGATGGAAGGTTAGTAAGCCTGAGAGCAAAGTCCAGCAAACAACTGCATGTATTATGCATTGACACCTCTCATCCACTTTATCCCTTACGTTCCACATAGTTCTGAAAAATCGAGGTAAATGTGAGGAACCCACAAGTAAGTAAACATTATTAGATCATACTGCTTCACAAAAAAGGGATTGATATGAATTTTCAACAAAAATAATTATCTTCATGACAGTCACTCTAAGCTACGCACCTATTGCTTTATCGCTTTGTCAACAATGTTATTGCTGGAAAGATGTGAGAGAGTGTAGGAGGAAGCTTTTCAGGTGGTCCGTACTCTGGGTTTCCCTTCTGCATCTTCTCTCACAATTTTTATGTTCTTACTGATATATTTGACGATAGTAACAGCCGTAAGCCATGCAATCGACAACCAATCACTTAGGAGGAACGCCACGGTGATTCTTTCACCGTACGCCAAGTGTGAAAAGTTCGTCGTCGATTTCTCTGTATAGGCGGAATATCCCCGAAGAACTGACTGAACGAAAAGGCACCGTGCTACTAAGGAAGCGGGAAGGCCGAAATATGTGCCTAGAACTTTATAAGTGCCATATCAGACCTCAGGAGAATCTCAAAATATGTTATCAGATAGAACCTGACCTAGGCAGCATATAAATAAGATCCTCCGAATCATTCAAATAGACTAATACTACATGCGCCCAGGCTCTGAAGGAGGTGGTTCGCGGAAACGTCAGTCGAATTACTACGACTAATTTACAATCTCGCGTCAGCTTATCAAGATAAGCTTTCTCGATTTTCATATGTTATCAGATAGTAAAATCATTCAAACACAAGAAATTTGCGATATTCACATCAAATAAATGTGAGTAAACTCTCGAGGAAATTGTAACAATTGTAGAATATTGAGTTCTTTTCAGAAAATTATGTATTCACATGAGCCACTTCATATGTAGAAAGTATCCCGGAGCTTTCATTCGACTCACTGCTTTGGATCCGTCATCTACGAAGGTATAGTGCCGTTACATTTGAACGGTTCAGAATCCGGAATACTCTTCAGTAGTGTATCAATTACAGGTAAATCTTGTATGGATCAGACAGAGTTTTTTTTCGAGCAAAATCAATATCAAGAGCTTGAGAAGATTGGTGGCCAACGGTGATATCGAACCTGAGAGTATACGTGTAGCGAATAGCATTCCTAACCACTGCGCTTTGCATATCGCGGTGTCGAAAAGAACCCTCTATATACCTAGTGATGTTGGGTAGTGTTGAAAATTTTGACGTTAAGCGCCACTCGAACCCTCATTTCACCCTATCGGGGGGCGCGTGCTCTAACCCGTTGCACTATCGAAACCTGTTCATGAACATGCTAGTTCTGATGGTCTTGAACACTTGCCGAGAAACATGTGGCAATGACGTCAGAGCATATTCCTGAGTACATAAGTAAGCTTCGACTATTGGTCGTAGCGAGCCATAGCACCAACTGAAGAAGTCCTGAGATCACTTAATACGAGGAATTTTTGTCAGCCATAGAGTGGTCCTGCAAGCAGTCCACGTATCATGTCCAACTCAACCTCTGTCGTTACCGTGCAGTATCACCTGCATCACATGTCGTCCCGTTGATCGTCGATTGACTCGAGCAGGCAAGCAACACTTCCATTTTTTTCTATGGCGTGCAAGATAGCCCAGTGGGTCCTCCTGGTTCTAGGGATTCGCTGAGCATCATATCTTTCTTCTATCGCTTTCGTGAATAAATCGTACTAACGGGTTGGTGGTCTTCCTGTAGAGGGCTTGATATCCCGAGGAATCTAGTGGGTAACAGCTCTCGTCCATCGGTTGTCGTTGAAGCGCATCACGTGTCCAGTCCACCTTATTTTCGATATCCTGGCGTGTAGAACGGCGTCTCTGATTTTTCGTTGACGTAGGTCGGAACTTTGAATCCTTTCTCTCATTTGCAAGATACGGGATATTCCTAGCATGGACCTTTCGACTGCGCGTTCGATAACGCCAAGTGATCTTCCATCCTGCTTACGTAGCGACCAGGTTTCTACTACATACGTTAAAGCAGGGATAATCGTCGAGTCGAAAAGGTGGGCACGGAGTCGGATGTTCTTTGTCCTCTTCACTACATCTTCGATGCTCTTAAACGTTCCCCAAGCCGCTCGTTTACTCCTGCTCAACTCTGGAGCTAGGTCGTTCGTCATGTTGATTTCACGACCTAGATAGACATGGCTGGAGCATTCGGAGATTGTCGTTCTGTTGAGTGTGAATGGGGCATTCAAAACCCATCCGTTCCTCATGAACATTATTTTCGTTAGATCTAATTGAAAGCCAATCTTTCCGCACGTGTTGTCGAAATCGGTCAACATTCGTTCTCCTTGGCAGCACTTTTATGATCCTTTTTTTCTATTCTACACGACCTGCCATCACCTCCCTCTCTGTGCGGATTCCAACTTTTCTAATATTCAAATTGTATCCTCGTATTCATACTCTACAAAGCTATTCAAGTGCTTCACGTGTTGCTTCGGCTGTTGTTTGAGGATTTCGTCCTCTAACAATTTTCAAGATCGACTATCTATAACCTCTACATGCTTCAGTAATTTCTAGTTTTTTTTTCTCTAAGGGAGTAGTGGTGTTTGATTGATTGGAATGTAGGCAACCTGACCTTTTGAAGCTCTGAAGAAGGAGAACTGCCGAAACGTTAGCTGTTGAATAGGGAATATCAGGATTTCGTCTTCTGTGTGAATATCGTATAATTCTGATTGAGAAGATATTTTACGACACGCAATCTCGAAGTAACTAGAGCAAAGATGTCGAAAGGCGTTCGCTTGATTGATTGCTAGAGAGTACTGAGGGCGGAGATCAAACCAGCGTCTTGATTATCACTTTTGCCTCTTGATACACTGTATCACTACCTACTAGGCTACCCCCGTGCCATTTGGACATTAAGGAACTTAGGAACGAAAGAACTTGAACTCCGTAGAGTTTTTGAAACGCGGGCTCAAAATAAGCTCACAAAGAACCGCTTAATCAGCTATTCTTCTATTCCACTCGAAAACAAAACTGAAACATATACCCACTGATGTAGAGCGATGTGCAAAACTTTCGCGTCAGGCGGGACTAGAACCTGCACCTCACTCTTTTCTAGAGCGCGTGCTCTATCCGTTACACTACTGACGCCCATTTTGCCCAGCGCTCTTTCTACCGACAGAGCACCTGAAACTGAGAAACTGAAGTAGTCCATAGGATATCGCAGGGCCCAGACATGGTCCATTCAGACGTGCGCCACGACCCGTCGTACGGTAGGTGCTGCGCGCCACGGGTACCCTGCCGCTTTCGTGCCAGGACTCTCTTGTCGTATAGTTGACGGGCGGTCAGGTCACTGCTGCAATTCTGTGCTTGTTCGAGTTGCTACTGCTGGTGATTCTGGCGATCTTTCATTGTTTAGTCTGCAGTAATCTCGCGTGGTTGCATCGTGTCTCAGCCCGTCGTAGATCGAAATTAGTCATTTTCGAATGGGAAGTAATTTTAGGCCTTTTTCCCGTCTGTAGTTTTTTTTTCTTTACAAAATTCTGCTCATCCTTCATCACCTGCCGCCCCATTGATTGTAAAGCGACTCGAGACGCGCGCACCACTAAATTTTCGTTTATTCTTTTATTTCGAGTGTTTTATTAAGACCACGCAAAAATTTTGATATATCTCATTATTATCTTTTGAGCCATCATGTCATGCGGTCTGTTAATGGGCTCTTGTACAGCTCGATACACGTGTTTCGGCCTTGCAGCCTCGTCAGTCGTGCAGGCCCTTCGTCTCTAGCCAATCCTTTCGGTGGTTCTTACCCCCCTCCTCATTAGGAGTTGGGCGTAAAGAAAGCGTAATGTTACAAAAATACCAGCCAAGAGCGCTCTAGTGTAGAAAATTGCCGATCTAGTTGTTTGCACTTGACGGCGAATGTGTAAATCGTTCGTCGTCGCCGCCTACCTCTTCATAAGGGGAGTAGGACCTTCCAGAGAGAGTTGGCTATAGGCGAAGGGCCTGCCCGACACTCCATTCTTGTCGTCGCGTACAAGAGCAGCCCAGTCGAACCTCTTTTTCTTCTAAGCGTTTCGCGAAGAAATCGGATCATCCGATTGGTGGCCCTTTTGCGGTTCGTCTCACATCTCAAGAAATTCAGTCGAGTAATCTCATTTCTCAGGTCGATTCTTGTTCAGGGTCGTAAAAGTACTATCGAGCAATCGCATGTGGCGTCTCCTGATGTCCCTTTTTCCCCACCTCTGTTTGTTCCTGTCACCTTTTTGTTTGAGGATCTTCTCGTATTATAGTTGACATCTTGCAGTTGTGTAAATGCTGTAAACCACAGAGTGAACCAAGTGGTCCTCACATGTTTGCTGCTAACCTCATCATGCTCGATGATGTTTCCCTATGCCACTGAATGCGGTACCTCAGTTTTAACCGCGGGGGCTCCTGGCCGAGTGATTGTGTTGCTTGTCGCGGCGCGCACGAGGCCGAAACCCCTCACACCCTTCAGCACTCTCCGGCAGTCAACAGCGAACGCCCTATGGAACGCCACGGCAAAGCTGTCCTCGAGATTGTGAAGAGACGCGCTCAACCAGTATCATACGGCGTTCAATAAGACCAAAAAACGATTGGATGCTGGAAGTACTGGGATTCGCATTGTGGAAACAAAACACTGTTAGACGGGCAGTGAGGTACCAAAAAGTCTTAGCGCTGCAGGTTCTGTCTCCGTCGAGACCTATCAAGCTGAAAAGTAGTTCGCTATCTTCGTCTTGACGCCCCTCCTTAGCTAACCGTAAGTGCGACACTAGAATCCTATGGATTCATTCTGACTTGTGCTCTTCTTTCCGCCAAAAAAAAAATTATAGAGAAATGAAAGATGGATGCTGTCACCCTTTGTGACCTTGTGCGACGGGGGCAATGCACTATAACGATTCTCGTTTGCGTTAACTTCTAAAAGGTCCACAGTTGGCAAATTAGTCAGTCATTACAAGCACTATGACTCTAGTGGGTTAGTTCATTCCCATCTCCATGGAGAGTTCTAAATTCGTTCTTGGCGAGAGGTGTTCAGTGCTAGCCTGTCGGGGCTCTCTCCTGGAACGACGACAAATCTCAGTGGCCGGAGAAGTCCACCTAAAACCCCGCCGTATACTTCCAATCGCTTAGTTGATAGCTTGGCCGAATGGACTTGTTGGACAAAACCCGAACATTGAACACTCAGCATTGGCCATGAGTTTATCCACTGAATCTGATTATCTCTGAGTGAATGTACGACTACTTAGTCTTTGGTTTTTTTTATTTCCTGTACTTTGAGCAGGCCATTTTCTTATCACTATCCCGTTCTATACGCTTCATTTTTCTTACTTCGCTCTGATCTGCGTTCTTTTATCGATCTTTGCTCATCAACCACTGCGCTTTGGTATGTAAATCTACTAATAAACTTCAGGGTACGAGCGATGGCTTCGCGATCACTTGCGCAGTTTGGTCGTACGGCTCGCCTGCTGAGATCGAACGTCCAGAGGAGCCTTTTTCCGGCTGTGATCAGTGGTAAGTATTTAGCTATTATCGAAGAGCTTACCTTTCCATTTATACGTGTTCCTATATTTGGTCGTTCCATTATTTTTAGCATTAAAGCAGCAAACACCAAATTTATTAGCCAATAGTGATTAGAATTGCATGACTTTGAATCATTCATTTGTGTATTTTCTTGCGCACAAATTGCTGTAAAATTTACCTTACTTGCTTTGAGATGGAGCTGTCTTGGGAATAAATTCGTTTGCTTCTCATGCACGATTGGCGTATAGGGGAAACGGCGCGCAAGATCAATAGAGCTTGGGGTGATGATACTCTTGCAGAAAGGACGACCAGCAAGTGGACGGCGAAGTCTAGAACTGCGAATAACAATCAGGAGAATTATCCGCGATTGGGCCCGTACACAAGAAACTTCGGTAATCTTGCGCGCAGCTTCGCGAACCTTTCTTATTCGTACGTGAGTACAAACGAATTGGTTCCCACGATAGCTTCATCTCAAAGTAAGTATGGGCAAGTTGTATACCAAAATATTTGCAGGAAGACGCGCAATTTAACGATACAAAAATCGTGCAGCTCCAATAACTTTTGGTTGGTAAATTTGGTGTTTATTGCTCTACTGCCAAAACTTATGGGACGACTCACAAACATAATATCTTCTTCATGATTTTTAGCTCACTAAATTTTCAGTTTCTACTAAATTGTTTCCATTAAGGGCGCACCAGCTTAACTACGTTTGGAAAGAGAGAAGTTCACACGTCGGTTGCTGCTCTCGCACAAGCTCCAGCTGTTGAGAAGAATGTATGCCGCTATAGTTTTCTTAGTAATTATTGCGCATTTTCAAAAAATTTCGCGGACAAAGTTGGGGGATTTCTATGCTGTTCCAGGTTTCCAAAACTGCATCACCTGCAGGGTCGAAAGGGAAGATTGTAGCTGTTATTGGTGCTGTCGTCGACGTTCAATTCGATGAGAATTTGCCACCCATTCTTAACGGTCTCGAAGTCACTGGACGCTCACCTCGTCTTATTCTCGAGGTATCCCAACATCTAGGTCGGTTCTCGTTCATTAATGAAATGTAACTTCTGCTCTTCTCCTCAATGTGACATGCATTGTTCAGGTGATAACGTTGTCCGCTGTATTGCTATGGACGGTACCGAAGGTCTTGTTCGTGGCCAGGAAGTCGTAGACACTGGAGATCCAATCAAAATTCCAGTTGGTCCTGAGACGCTTGGCGTATTATGAATGTCATCGGGGAACCGATTGATGAACGAGGTCCTATTCCTTCAAAGCACCGAGCTCCAATCCATGCAGAAGCGCCTGCGTTCGTTTGAAATGTCTGTGGAACAGGAGATTCTCGTAACGGGAATCAAAGTCGTGGACTTGCTTGCTCCTTATGCCAAAGGTGGAAAAAATCGGTCTCTTTGGTGGTGCCGGAGTGGGAAAGACTGTGCTTATTATGGAACTGATCAACAACGTTGCTAAAGCTCACGGTGGTTATTCGGTATTTGCTGGTGTTGGTGAACGTACTCGTGAGGGTAATGATCTCTATCATGAAATGATTGAAGGTGGAGTCATTGATCTTAAGGTAAGGGTCGTTTCTGACCAGTTTTTTTTCCGAGAAAACCTACTTATAATGCGATAGATTATTGCAACGAATGGTTTTCAGATGGATTATGCATGTTCATCCTACAATTCTTTCTATTAAGGGTAACAACTCCAAAGTGTCTCTCGTGTATGGACAGATGAACGAACCTCCTGGTGCGCGAGCTCGAGTATGTTTGACTGGATTGACTGTCGCTGAATATTTCCGTGACAAGGAAGGACAAAACGTGCTTCTTTTTATCGACAATATTTTCCGTTTCACCCAAGCCGGATCGGAAGTGTCTGCACTTCTGGGACGAATCCCATCTGCTGTCGGATACCAGCCAACACTAGCAACTGATATGGGTAGCATGCAGGAACGTATCACTACGACGACGAAAGGATCGATCACTTCGGTGCAGGCCATCTACGTACCTGCTGACGACTTGACGGATCCGGCTCCTGCTACCACTTTTGCTCACTTGGATGCTACAACTGTATTGTCTCGTGGTATTGCAGAATTGGCTATCTATCCGGCTGTCGATCCACTCGATTCCACTTCTCGAATTATGGACCCTAACGTCGTCGGACAAAAGCACTACGATGTTGCACGTGGAGTCCAGAAGATTCTTCAAGACTACAAATCTCTCCAAGATATCATAGCTATCCTTGGTATGGACGAATTATCCGAGGATGACAAGCTGACCGTTCTCACGTGCTCGAAAGATTCAGCGTTTCTTGTCGCAAACCATTCCAAGTCGCTGAGGTGTTCACTGGTCACGCTGGAAAGTTTGTGTCACTAGAAGAGACTATTCGTGGTTTCGAAATGATCTTGAAAGGTTAGTTCTTCTCCGAGTGGAGCATTTTCTTCACGAATATTTTGCAGTGATTGTTTTTCTTTCGTCCAATTTTGGAGAACGGGAGGGGCGGGGAGGGGTGGGGAGGCGGGGGATTGTGTCTGTGATTTGTGATCTTTTTGTTTTTTCCTGTGGTTTTGGTTTGTAAATCAGAATTTGGCGTTATGCTCGAAATTCTGGTTTATAATGCAATGTACC